ATAAACCGATAAATTGCCGAAAGATCGGCAAGCATCCCTGAGGTAATAGTTTGGAATCATTGAAACAATGCTGGCTACTGACCGAGTACATCGCACCAATTCTGAAGTGACTCATAACGAACGATGGAAAAGGAATTGAATACGAGAATAACGAAACACATTCTATTCAAAAATTCATGGTCAATAATCGATGAACCTCCACAATCTGTATTGATGGCGAACAAGATGGTGCTGAGTGTACGGTGGGCTTGGTATGGAATTGTCCATTGTGAGCAGCTACAACCTGTTGAACAGGCAAATACTGTATTATCGGAGGTTGATTGGAAAGTTTTGATGCAACAGCCAAATAGCTCATCTGCCTACTATTTATTTCGTTCTAGGCAAATGTATATTTTGGTAAAAACTTGGTCTACCAAAGAGCTGCGAAAAACAGTTTTTCCAAGTGCTCCGCTATTAAATCACTGATGGAAATATGAAGTTTTTTCTTATGACAAAAAATTTTTTGGTTCAAAACATGACATGAATTATTTAAATTTAAGTTAATTTAATTTTTCTAACGGGTGGCAACTCTTTCAATAAAATCCATACTTCACATGAGCCCGGACTTGAATGACGTTATCCTAAAATTATAAACTAAATGGACTTAGTGGTTTCAGAGCCTATTAGCTGCGCATATACATACATATATATAGTATATAGATCTTTTATATATGCATGTAGGTTATATGTAGCATCGCTGAAGTCTATTTGTGCGCTTCATTTCATTTTTATTTTTGTAGACATGACAGCAATTTTACGTAGTAGAGCCTTTACGATTCGCTCTTTGTTCCATTCTGCGTTTGCTCTGAACAATTTTATAAGTTCCGGTATACTCGTACATAGAACAAGGCATAATTACTACCATACAGTGTAATATAAAATTTTTTATTGTATATTGTCTGTAGACATCTATATATATGTATGTGTAAATGTAAATTTCTACAGAAATATCTATCGCCTTGAAAATGGTTTTAATATTAAATAAATATCAGCTGCATACGCTGTTGCACTAACGGGCACGCACTCTTGCTTCCAGCAGCTTAAATGAATTTTGTATGAAAAATTGGTTAATAAAAATTAAATATTATTATTTTTTTAAATAAAAGTTTAAAAAAATTCCAATTGTGTTTTAAGCGCGTAGTGTTGAAATAGCGGTGTACATACATACAGTTGTGTATATTTGCAAATTTGCTAATTTAATGAGTGCGCAGCATACAAATAATTTTAATTGAAAAATTTGCTAACGAGTGATAATTGCAGTAGAGCGATTTTTCTGTGTGTATATATATTTATATGTAAGTGTTGTTATATATTTGGAAGTTTTTTTCCGCTCTTATATTTTAATTCGCAAAATTTGATTTAATTCGTTTTAAAAATTCCACAGCTTTCTCAACGAATGCATGATTACCATTTAAAGTCAAACTAATAAAATTAAATATAATTAAAATAAAATAAAAAAGAAATTAAAAAAATAAAAATTTTGGCTATAATTTCGCTATAAATGTTTAACCCAAAGGAAAACTTTTTCATTTTTATTATTTATTATTTTTATTTTTATTTTCATTTAGTATATGTATTTCGCCAGCAGGTGAATGTTGGAAAAAAAATTATTCATCTTTCGCCAATCGCTAATTTCAATCTAATCACAAAACAGTAATGCGAAAGTGCTGGTTATTTAGCTATTTTAGCTACTCAAAATATTTGTTTATAGCGGAAAGATGTTGAATTTAACTATAAATTTTTTTTATTTTGGAGTTCGACAAAACAATTCAATAAACTCTTTTCAAAAAGTGGCTACCTTTATCAAAGAAATTTTCCACTGTAAACCTTCTATTTCATTGTTTCGTGATCTCTCAAATGAAATTTTCAAACAGAGTTGCCATCGCTAATGTCTAGGTTGTTTGTTTTGAAGAGTCCCTTTCTGATACGTAACAAGCCAAGCAAGAAAAAAATCATATTCAAATAGTTTTAACTCATAGAGTTATTTTTTTTATACTCGCACACACAAAAAAAAAAAAAAAAAAAAAAAAAAAAAAAACGGGTGAACATGGAATCAGCAATTTTTAGGCTCATATCTCATCAAATCACTAGACAGATTTCCATAAAATTTGGTTTTTGTAATCTTTATGGTATATAATAGGATGAGCACATATAAGCTTACCATTACTACAACAAACTCGCTATTTTGGACTGCTCTATGAATTTCAGAAATATCAGCTATATATCCGATATTCGGTTAGACCCAAACCTTATTATTTTTACAATAATATTTTCAACTAAAAAACCTTTAAACCTTTTTAGTTTGATAACCCGGAGGCAGCTTTAACTTTAATTTTGTTTTAAATTCATTTAATTTATTTTAATTTTTAGTTTTTTATAACTGAAATTATTGCGAAAATAATACAACATTGAATATAACAAAAAAATATTTAATTTTACTATTTTAATTTTTTTTTATTTATTTATAATTATTAGTTATTATTTTTTCTTCTTTCACATAATCATGTTCTAAGTTTTCCCTTTCTACGTTCTTATTTATTAAAAGTAATTAAATTATTTTAATTTAATTTTTTAATTGTATTTTAACAGATTTTATTTAATTTTAAGCATTTTTTAATTTAATTTCGCTGTTTTAAAATTAGTTTTTTTTTGTATTAATTTTTTTATTAGTTTTTATTTGATCAGTATTTCTTACTTAATTATATTTTACTTTGTTTCGTATTTTATTTCATTTCATTTTATTTTATTTTATATCATTTTTTTTATTTATTTTATTACGTTTTATTTAATTTTTATTGATTTTTTTCTCTATTATTTATTTTATTTTATTCTATTTTTTTAATTTATGTTAATTTATTTTATTTTTATTTGTTTTGTTTTATCTATTAATTTAATGAATTAAATTTGTTTTAATTCTATTTGCTTTGATTTTATTTTATTTTCTTTTACTTTATATCATTTATTTCAACTCCAATTTTGTTTTAGATTTTTTATTTTTTTTTTATTAAATGTAGAGTGTTTTATATTAATTTAAATACTTTTTTCTTATTCGCTCTTATTCTATATTATTTCTGTTATTTGATTCTTATTTGTTTTTATTTTATTTTTTTGTTTTAGCATTGTTTATTTATTTAATTCATATAATTTTATTTCTTTTTTGTTTTTGATCTTATTTTATTGTATTTTATTTTATTTAATTTAATTTTAAATTACTTTATCTTGTTTATTTTTTTTTGTTTTAGCACTGTTGATTTACTTAATTTATATTGTTGCAATTCTTTTTCATTTTGAACTTATTTTTATTTTATATTATTGCATTTTATTTCATTGTATTTTATTTATTGCATTTAATTTTGTTACATTTAATTTAATTTAATTTTAATTTACTTTATCTTATTTTATTTTTTCTTTGTCTTAGCATTGTTTATTTACTTAAGTTATATTTTTGCAATTCTTTCTTATTTTTGATCTTATTTTATTGCATTTTATTTATTGGATTTTATTTTGTTGCATTTTGTTTAATTTAATTTAATTTAGTTTTAATTTACTTTGTTTTATTTTATTTTACTTTAAATAAAGTTATTTATTTTTATTTGTTTATATTTTGTTATTATATATCATTTTAATTTAATTTATTACTAAGCTTATTATTATTATATTATTATTTTTTAACTCTTTTATTTGTCGGAAAATGTGCCTAAAATGTTTATTACATCTGCACATGTTACATATAAAAAAGCTGAAGCCCGCTCAAAACACTTTCAAGCAATAATCAAACATCACTAATTAATTAGTGGATGCGTGTTCGCCTGCTGTTAGGCACTTCTATCTGGGGGTGTACAAGGCGTATAATTGATATTTCATCGGCTACGTAAGCGGATGAGCAGCCGACTGTTGATTGAGTGTACATAGATAACAGTGCCTAGTGCTCTAATAGACTGCTGGCAGTAGCAGCAAATGACGTCGCTGCATTAGGTTTATTTTCGGCATGCCCTCAGACAATTATCTATCTACATACGCTATATTCATCTGTTGCTCGTGAATACAGTGCAGTTGATAGAAGTGGACTTCGTGCTAAGTGAATGTACATTCAACTCTCTGTAAACTCAACTCTTTGTGAAACGCTTCAGCTGTGTATGAGCAATTGCACTCAAATTGAACACTCGAGTTTTTATCGCTTGGCGCTCAAGTTGTGTAGCAGACGGTAGGGAATCACTTTGATAGGTTCTTGGCTTCCAAAACAAACGTAACTTTAGTCGAGTATGCTGGGTGTATTTATGTATGTATATTGTGGATGTGTACTTCTTTTTGGCGGCCTTTACGATATCATTATTGATGATAGATGCGACTGTATTGAGTATTTTTGTAATGATACTTGGAATGCGTTGTTGTTCTTTTGTTTACATGTTGTTGATGTTGCTGAGGTCTGCGTACACTCTCTTTTGCATTTATTATATATTCGTATAAACAATTGAAATTATATCTGCATATATAAATTGAGTAAGCGATCTGACTGGACAGTTCAGATTCAATTGCCGCAGGCTAAGCAACACAACTTCAGTTCTTGTATATAATTCTGATTCGAAATTCAAAATTTCTTGCTTTAAAATTGTGTTTGTGAAAATAAAAAAATGTAGTATTGAAAAAAAAAAATTAATAGAAAAACTTTAAAAATTTTTGAAAGGTACGTGTGTGTGTTTTATTTAAAATTTCTGACAATGGTGAAAAAAAAAATAATTATATTAAATATACCTGTTGATATTTTTTTATTTTTTAAAAAGTGTGTTTGTGTGTATTTTTAAATCATTATTAGAAACAATAGAGAAAAAATAATTTTTATTGGAAAAATAAATGAAATGAAAATTAAAACCAAAAAAGTAACAACATATAAATTAAATATAATAAAATGAAAAACTAAAAATTACTTATTTCCTTTATCATTTCACGTATGTGCATTACAGTGCGTCTCCTCAGGATTTTACCGCTAGTTTTGCTAATTTCACGTTCGCCCGCGCGCACCACTGCCTCTAATAGTATTGTGAAACGCTCGTATATAGCGAGTAGCAGTAATTTTGCAGCCACAAGTGCCAGCTGTAATAGTAAAATTAAAATGCCAGAGAAACGCACAGCGCCAGCGATTTCCTCTTTGGAGGATTTTGAACGGAAATTACCTGGGTAAGTTACTCAATTTATGTACTAATGCATACATACACACATCATGCATACATTGTCACATCATTTAAAGTTATTTAAGAGCAGGTACTTGTGCATTGAAAAGAGGCATTTCCACTTCGGATGTAGAATTTACCGTGATTACCAAGCTCATTGGCCTCGCAATTCTCTGGAATATCAATATGTCCGGAATACCAAGCCATGAACGTTTCGTCTATAGTCGCTGGTTTGTTGAAAGTCTCTCTGCATCTTATTGCCACCTTGTTTCGGGGTTACTGCATTGAAGAGACTGAACGGCAGCTTGTCTGTCAGAATATATTGTGGTTGTCACTATTACAGAATTGAGTACCAACTACGAAGCGGATTTTATTATTGAACTCAACTTTCCCACCTTCCGTCAAGTTTTGAGGTATTTGCTGAAGATAGCTGCCGAACTTTGATTTAAAAAATAACATTTTCCCATTCATTATTATATGGGGTTTTTGTTGAGGAAGTGCTGGTTAGTGCAACAGGAATCAGAGGGGTTATAGTCCACCTCTTCCGACAACTGTGTAGAGTTAAATATTTGCGCTACACTCCTCTTTCTGTGCTCGCTTCATAGTTGAATTGAATAAATTGAATTTAGCCCTATGAATTTGTAGCTCGCTTGAAGTTTTCCACATAGGTTTTAAGAGCGAAGACTAGCGGAATTTCAAGTGCGTTCGTAGTAGTTGAAGGTAGATTTCTTGTTATGAGTAGGGAGGCTCACCAGATGAAGAAAATTGAAAGATTTGCTTTAGAAATGTTGTGACACACATCGCCTAAGGTTTTTTTTTTTCATATATCATAGACAGCCAGGCCAGTGTGATCACCTTAAATTCTAAAATTTGTCTAGATTGTTGCAGATCTTTTATGGAGTTGGCAGCGGGGGCTCTCTCTCTTTCTGGTTAGTATTCCTGGTTATGTCCCTGTGAGGGAACTGTATACGGTAGATGAGCTTCCTAAGCAAGTTTTGATCAAACGAATTTTCTCGCATAAAGCCTTTTCCTTTATTCAAACAGATACCAAAGATGTTAACAAATAAATATATAGACAATGTGTACTGTGGTGGAACCAAAACTTGGCTGCTTGCCAACCCGAAATGTGACCAAAAGTAGTCGCAAAGTGGCAAATGAATTTTTTGTTAGATGGCTATTGAAGAATCTGAGAAGATGAATAAGAAGTTGCGAAGACGAACAGTGTCATTTAGTCATTGTTTACATCTCGGCTGCCACCGTTAACTATCCCACACCTACTCTGCCTACCTGACATCATGTTTACCAATCAAGCTGTCCTTGGCATATATATATATTTACAAACAATGTGTGTAGTATATACATTTTTACTCAAATTTACATGTCAACAAAACTATATAAACATACATATGTATGTAAATGCTTGGCTATTAATAATAGGCCTCACCTGTTGCTTACATGGAAACCGTAGGTCAATGCCATATTTTCATAAACAAAGCGAAAACTGTAAATAAAAACAGAAATAAAGGTGAAAGTGAAAACAAGAAAATAATAAAAAAAAACAAAAGTGTAAACGATTATTCTTCTTCATTGCACTGACCTAGTTAGCAATAGCCCGAAAGCCATTTCTTCTAATTTTAATTTTTTTTTTGCTATTTGGTGGCAGTTGGTAATACCAAGTGGAATCAGGTCATTCACTACCTGACGGCGAGTATGAGTTTCTTTTACTCTGCTACTCTGCATGGAAGACTTTCAAAGACCAAGTGATTTCGGTCATTCCGACTGCATGACCTAACCAGCTTTATCACAGTCTCATGTCAATATTGCCGTATAGCACGTACAGCCCACAATGCTATTGTCTTCTATACTCGCCGTCGCCTGCAAAACCTTTCTCTCGAAGACTCCTAAAGTCCACTTGTCGGATGTTGTTGACGACCGGTCGTCTGCACCATGCAGCAAGACGGGTAAATTGAGCAACTTGAGGTGATCTTCTCTTATTTGTAGAGAGCACTTTTCCTCTTGATTGTTTACTCCATCCAAAGTTGCGTCTATTGGCAGGAGTCAATCTACGTTGGATCATCAGATTGACATTTTTGCTAAGCTTGGAACTAGATACACGAAACTGTCTAAGATTTGAAAGCTTTGACTGTCAACAGTGACAAAGGAGCGAAAACACGTTTCTCTGTTTCATGACTGTAGACATTTCGTCTCACTACTAGACCCAATTGCTTCACGTTTTTGACTAATTTAAAGGTAGCAGGATTAACGGCGAAGATGTTGTTGTGAACAGAGTCAATATTATCGTTGTACATCAGCATTTTGTATTATTTTCTCTAGCATTAGCTTTAGAAGATACGCGATAGAGATCACACTGTGCTAGTTTGGTGCCGGATGGCTTGATGTGACTCGTTCTTTTTCTGACTGCCTGCTTAAAATTGAACTTTGGCAAGGAATGACAATCCCCCGGAGTGTATTTATGATATGAAATAAAAGCTTCCCTTAAAACAGTCATCCATCGTTTAGAGGCGGGTAAGAATAAACTGTAAGTCCCTTAACTTATTGGAAAAACAACAAGAAGCATACTAGAAACTGGAGAAGGAGCTTGGCTAAAAATGGCTTCAGCGGTTATTATATAAGGTTGTCAAATATCTCCCTTCCGCTTTTTTGCTCTTCATTAAATGTTTTATAAAAAGTGTTACAGTGATCGGATTTAGTTCCATCTAGACGGCAACTTCATAATACCTTCCTCGTAGAAGCCCCCCTCCTTATTTGCGAAGAATTCGGACAGCCACTTTTCACAAGCCTCTTTTGAGTTCAACTTCACACCACCAAGGGCATTCGCCATGGACAGGAACAGGTGGTAGTCACTTGGCGCTACGTCCGGGCTATATGGTGGATGCGATAAAACCTCCTATCCGAGCTCCCGTAGCTTCTGAGGAGTCATCAACGAAGTGTGTGGTCTGGCGTTGTCCTGGTGGAACACTACACCCTTCCTGTTGGCCAATTCTGGACGCTTCTGACGAGTCATCAACGAAGTGTGTGGTCTGGCGTTGTCCTGGTGGAACACTACACCCTTCCTGTTGGCCAATTCTGGACGCTTCTGGTCGATTGCCTGCTTCAAGCGGTTCAGTTGTTCGTAGTAGATGGTAGAATTAAGCGTCTGGCCATATGGGAGCAGCTCATAGTGGATGATTCCCTTCCAGTCCCACCAAACACACAGCAAAACCTTCCTGGCAATCCGTCAATCCCGGCTTGGCCACTGTTTGGGACGATTCACCGTCCTTCGACCACGACCGTTTTCGCTTGATATTGTCGTATGTAATCCATTTTTCGTGGCCAGTCACCATCCGCTTCAAGAATGGGTCGAGTTCGTTCCGTTTCAGCAGCATATCGCAGGCGTTGATTTGGTCCAGAAGGTTTTTTTGCGTCAAATTATGCGGCACCCAAACATCAAACTTTTTTCTGTATCCAGCCTTCTGCAGATGGTTCAAAATGGTTTGGTGACTAACTCTCATTTCCTAGGCGATGTCACGAGATGCCATAAGCCGGTCTAACTCGATGTATTCCATAATTTGATCGGTATTTGTCATCACAGGTCTTCCGCCGGCTGGCTTATCCATGGTGTCGTTTTCACCGGCTTTGAATCGTCGAAACCATTCCTCCGCGGTTCGAAGTGATAGAGTACCATTCCCGAAAACACCATTAATCTCGCGGAACGTTTCTCTAGCGGATTTGCCTTTAACGAAGGAAAACTTAAAAATAGCGCGGATTTCGGTGTTAGTGAACTCCATGTTTACACGTCTATAACTGTTGAACGCAATATCCAGGTTATGTCAAGACCTTTCAAATTATGTATAGTGTTGCCATCTACGAGCTCTGTAGCGCTTTGTACATAGCCGCGAAATTCAAAAGACAAAAAAGCGGAAGGGATTTGACAACCTAATATACATATATACGAGTATATAAATACACTGAAAAGACTACATCCGTCTGTTGACGTTGGGCTTTAGTATTTAACATAATACGCTCAATAGGGCCTTATATGCGATATTGAGGTGATTTATCCCATAGTGATTAATGGAGACAGTGGGTTCCACTTTTTTTGGATTTGATTTTGCTCTACACCGATAATGTCACTACCGAGTTCTTTACTCAACTGAACAAAATGCAGTGTTGTCTGCCGCACCTACATATCTAACGATTTCTTGCATGTATCTATAGAAGGTGCTGCTCTATTGTTCTCGATAACTAACATTCTTTAGACGCGCTCTAGAACTGGCTTTAGTTTTCAAGCTCTCAGTCTCATATCACATTCGTAATTGCATTTTTGCTCCAATACATATTATTAGGATAAATATATTTTAGCTCTTTGAATTATAATTTGTATTATATATACGTATGGTATGCAAAACAACAAACAAACAAACAACAGTTATCTAAATGAGAACACCACACTCGCGCTGCTCCTTGACTACGACGGCACACTGGCCGCCATTGCAGATAGTCCAAAGAACACCTATATGACGGTCGCCATGGAGAAATTGTTAAATCAATTGGCTATACATCCCAAAATCTTCTTGGCCATGATCTCTGGACGTGCGCTGAATGATGTACAATCACGTGTCGGCATACCGGGTATCACCTATGCGGGTAATCATGGGCTGGAAATCGAGAGTGGCAATGGTACACGCCACGATTATCCACTACCAGCCAAACTGCAACAACACTACGCGCCAATGGTGGTCGAACTAGTAGAGAATGTACAAAAGAATGGCGCTTGGGTTGAAGATAAGACAGTATCGTTGACCTATCATTATCGTGACGTTCCAGCGGACTTATCGGGGGCGCTAAAACAACAGGCCATACGCATAATTGAGTCGCACGGCTTTCTGGCGAATCAGGCGCATGACGCCATAGAAGCGAAGCCACCGGTGAATTGGCATAAAGGTGAGGTTGAATTGGCCAAGAATATAAATAAAAACAAAAAAAATTTAGAATTTCGTTTAATGACTTAAATATATAATTTTTTTTCTTGAACAGGCGAAGCTGCTCTGCTCATACTAAAAGACAAATTCGGCCCAAATTGGGCTGATGAAATCAAAGTGATATTCGCTGGCGATGACAACACCGATGAGGATGCCATGCGGGTAATTAAAAATATTTAAAAGTTGAAAAAAAAAATTTTTTTTTTCATAAATTTATTTCATTTGCAGTCTCTGCAAGGTGTCAGCAAATCATTCCGCGTTTCCGCCGATCCTGAGATACAAACTTATGCGGATTTCCGCTTAACGAGTCAGAATGTTGTGGAGGATTTGCTGAGGTGGATAAGAAAAACATACAAGGATTAATGTGCGCTCCAGCTGCTGGGGACTCTGTTGGACTTTTATTATTATTTTAAGAATATATACATATATACATATATATATGCATATAAATTAGTACAAGCTTATTATATTGTAAATAATATGAAGTGATGTGCAATTATTTATTTTTTGCAACATTAAGTTGTATTATTAAGTTGAAAATATTGTTGATAAATTGGCAAAATGAACAATTATTATGTTAATTGGTATTTTTCAGAAAAAAAAAAGTTTGTTTTTCATAGATATTAATATTAAAAAATTAAAATAGAAAATTAATTTAAAAATTGATAACCTCAAAATAATTAATAAACAATGCATTACATTATTTCACATATATATAAATATTGACAACGTCTTAACGTAAGCTATGCAGAATATTCGGTTTATCAATCAGATGGTTTATGTTTTCCCGAGCACCCAAAAAGGGGCGTCGTACCTCTTATACAAAGCATATTTAGAAAGAAAATACACTAACGCAGTCACCGATACAGCGATTCTTTTTCGCCATGTCGGCCAACATAGTAGCAAGACTTCTCCCCTTTGCTACGAGATTGGTTCGGCTCGAAGTCAGTACGTTGTCGACCCGACTACACGTTTCGTGTGAACAATATCAATTCTGTTTTTCCTCAATGTTAAATACGCGGCGTCATCCAGTATCTCTTTTGAAGGATTATCATATCTGCAAGAGACTGTTGGACTTTAAAAAAATGGCAATTCACAACAAGAGGAGAGGCATTCGGACAAATGCTTTGCCTGCTGTACGACAGAGGAACTGCTCGCCTCATTTAAATGGGATGTCCTCAACCATTCAGCGCATTCCCCTGTTCTAGCACCGCATATGGGTGGAAAAAAGTTTTTAACTGGAACTTGAACTCCTCAATCACACCTTCGGACCAAAGAGCGCTCCTGACAGTAAGTTTTTTTTGAGTGTAACGACCTCTTTTGAATTATTTGAGAATTCTCGGACCGCCAATTGCGAAAATTTTGCTTATTTACACATCTGCTGATCTAGAAATGTGCTTCACCGTTGAAAAAAGTTTGATCGAAAAATCGGCGTCCTCTGTTTGGTGTTCAAACACCCAATCGACGTATGTATGTGAAAGGTCAGCTGGCTTCAGTTGTTGTATGTGCTCGAATTTATACGAATGTGTCGTAAGAAAGTTGCAGCACTTGAGCACGTCGAGGAATAGATACATTGAAATCATTAATTCGACTACACTTTCATTTCCAGTAGCGATATTAGAAGAGGAACGAGCAAAAGGATAATGCACAGTCAATATCATATCTGTAAGAGACCCGGTCTTTTCAAATTTCTTTTTTACGTTTGGCGAAAGCAAACACTTTCTTCTAACACTTAGAAGTTATTATGGATTTGGCATCACAATTGAAGCCAAATTCCCATCTTGATGACGTGCAGGATGGATAGAGTTGAACTATATGCATGAAATATTTTCATTCAAGCTGTGAAACCTTTCAAACTCATAGTGATTCAGATATACGAGTATAAGGTTTGGCAAGTAAGACGTGTTTCTGAGGAGTCAAACTCTGGGGGGAGTCCGTTGGATTCGAGCACGTAGATAACACTAGACACTAGATTGATCGGCGTAGAGGAGTTGCCATTAATTACTGCCACCTGCACGCTGTCTCTGGTCACATCACTAAAATGTCTGCCTGTTGTTCGGTTGTTCTGCTCAGTTCCTCGCTACTTGGGTTTTGACAAGCTTTCAGCTGATTCATTTTGGGAGCGATTCCATTTGTGGTAACCACTTTAATTGTTTGTTTCAGAAGGTTTTTCTGATTGCTTCTTTTACAAAGACCTTTAATACTCTTTCATTATTTGTTTTAGGCGCTTAATTTCATCGGAGATGTCGGCAGCCTGGTCCTTCTCTAGTACATGGACTACTATCTGGTACCGGCTTTTTTTTTCTTGTGGTGAGTTGCTCCTTTAGCAGCCATGGTCCTTTGGCTGATACTTATGAGAGCTCTGGAGGTGGGAGCGGGGGGTTCCGTATTCAGGTCTTGGGTACTTTGGTAAGTACCCGCTGTATTTGCTGTAGATCCGGTAGTACTCTTTATCGTCCTCATACTGAAGGCGAGGATTCCAGGTGGGATCGCAAAACTCCCGTAAGTCATACCGTGGTCCTACGAGCCAGTCATAAAAGTTTGATTACTCGTCCGAAGAGCTGGTACGTGTGGAGAAGGCATTTCTAACTCTAATCTCATTTGGGTATTGAATGCGACCGTTCGTTGTAGCTATTCGATAACCGCCCGCTGATCATTCCACATTTTAGATGAGAATTTTGCTGGTTAAGTATCCTCACAGCTCGCACAATGGGGTTTGATGATAAAACCATAGTAGAAGTGTGCGTTTCCATCTGAAATTCGCCTACTATTATTTAAACCTTTTCGCTACGACCAGGCGACCAACGCTTAAGAGGCAGATAAAAGGAATGGCAATAAAAGAGCCAAGGCGTTGGAGGAAAGAGCAGCATCTATCCAATGAAAGACTGTAAGCGAAAATTACTGAATATGTAAAAAAGAAAAGTAAGATAACGAAAAACAATAATTTACTTTTGCTCTAGTTTTGTTGTTGTTGTTGTTGTTGTAGCGGCTCGCTAGCCCCTCTTAGGTACAGGTTTGATCAACCTAAGTCGTCGATGTCATCTAATGGGATGACCAGGAAACGAGCTGTTTCACCTAGATTGGACCAGTGGAGAGTTAGATGAGTCGGTTTAAGGGTGAGCAACTATGGTTCAAGGCTTTACCCATGGTCTCTGCAAGAGCTTCAACGTTGTGGAGCATTGTTCATGTGTGGATTCGTGGAAGAAGACTTTATAATAATTACAATTAAAATAGTGAGAATTCAATATTAATTGATATTTTTCGTTGATATTGACGCTGCTGCTTGTCTAATATATTTTACCACCATACAATTTTTATTTAATTTAATTATTATACTAATCGTTTGTCTCTTCATTTATTTTGTTCTTTTTCGCTACTTTCCAACTTTGTAATTGTGTGTGAGTTTGTAGCGATGTAGCTTGTATGGAAGCGATAAGGCAGCGCTTCTTATTATGAGTAGAGTGCGCCTGTAATGATCATTTTGTTGGGTTGATAAGTTTTGTTTAGGCGCTCTGAAATAAATTATATATATGTTAATGTATATTTGAACTATATAAATGCATTACAAATATTTGTGTATAAACTCTGAATTCAGCGTAATGAAAAAGGTTGAAAACTATATTTCATACAAAACGAGTTCAGTAGCTGACTGAATTTCAAAACACACGCTAGGTGGGCCAGGGACCGAATTTTTTTCATTGTTGATAATTCTAATGATTAGAGGCTCTTTGAATATCAATAAATAATATATAAAAAAATGTGGGGACGAACCAAAAATTTTGACTAAAATTTTTGTATAAAATAGCAAAAAAATGCAAAAAAAAATGTGATTTGTTGGTGATTTAACATATTTTCTTCTTTTCATAGAAAGCCGGCTGCAAATAATTTTTGATAAAAATCTTCAAAAACAAATATACGTGTATGTATATAACTTTTATACATACAAAATGCCAGAAAAACGTGTAGTGCCAGTGATTTCATCTTTGACCGATTTAGAAAGCAAATTATCGGGGTGAGTATTAATATATCTAAAAAAATAACAAAATAAAAAATTAAAATTTATAACATTTAAACAAAATAAAATAGAAAATAATAAAATAAAATAAAATAATATAAAACAAAACAAATTAAAATAAAATAAAATAAAATAAATTAAAATAAATTAAAATAAAATAAAATAAAATAAAATAAAATAAAATAAAATAAAAAATTAATTAAATAAAATAAAATAAAATAGAACAAAATAAAATAAAATTAAATAGAATTATTTAATTTAAATATAGAAACATAAGTAGAGACAAAAGAAAAAAAATGTGTACAAATTTAATTATGTTTGAAAATATAATATAAAACAGAATAAGTTTAAATAAAATAAGTACAACGAAATGAAACAAATAATATTGAAATATAAATAGTAAAAATAAAATTATTTATTCAATTGATTGTATGTAGTTTTTTTGCTATTGTATAAATTTGTTTGTTTTTATTGATTGTTATTGACTTGTTTTTGTACCTAATCATCTCATACACTCATAATCTCGCAATTTTCGGTACCGGTATATGAATAAAGTGTGACAAACGACTTTTTATACACTGACGATTAGATTTCATTTAAGTTCCTGCCAGTGATTATCATTTAGTAATATACAAAGTTAGCGTAGGTTACATTACGCTCATATAGCAACAGGGCGATCATATACATTTTTCAATTGAGAAAAAACTAATTAAGGAAAGTAAAAAAGGAGGAATTTTCATATAAAATAAGTAAATTTCAGTCATAAATGCCTAGTTTATCAGCAAACATTTCCTGCAGGAAAGAAATTTCCGGTTTTAATGAGACCAACTGTCAAAGTAAAGTCTTGTAAAACACAACACCCTAATATTAATACATGCAGACTAGCGCCTTTATATATTTATATATAAACATATATGTATGTGATTTGGCATTAACCTTTCTGATAGTGGCAAAGATTACTTCGATTAAATAATTGTTTGAAGAGTGTACAGCTGATTTCGTGCGTCTCATGTGTGGCTGCGCTCGTCATTTGTGTACTCGCTGCTTTTGCCAAATCGCCTTTGCGAGTATACCATGTAACTAGTTGCCGTACAAAAAATAAATAATAGATAAAAGTATTTTTCCAATAATTACACAAGCCTTTGTTTTAAGTACTAACTAATACTTTTTGCATAAATATATTTATATATTTATTTACTTTTGATTGCTGTAATATGGGAGCACAACCAATGTAAAATATATATTTCGCTCGTTGTTGTTTCTTATTCGATTGCTCTGCACTTCTGTGTGCATTCGTCGCCCGAGTGATGATAAAATTGTTTGAGAAATATTGCAGATGAAGACAATTGTATGTATGTAATTGTGTAATAAAAAGAAGCAAGCGTTGCTTGAACTATGCAGAACTGGAAGAATGTGACACGCACATACAGAAAATATATCAGTTGCATATATTAATATTTAGCAAAAAAAAAAAAAAAAAAAAAAAAATCCACAGAGGCAAGTATTTCTGATAACTCGGTCATATCAGTTCAGTTCAATATGTATGCATTTACTGTTGTTGCTTTAGATGCTTGTAACGTGAACAGGCCGTAGGATGCATGCGTTCTGGCGCGTGGTTGGCATGTGGCTATAACTTTCTATAAGATAAAGTATTTATCGGCTATCTGGGTGATGAATAACAGTGCGTGTTGCTATGCGTAGTGACATCCGATCAATATGCAAAATTATAGAAAAAAAAACTATTAATTACGGACGTCTTACGGCATAGAATGACAACCCCTCGGAGTGTATTTCAAATATGTAATATAAGTTTCTCATAAAAAGCTCCTCTAGAAGACCTTTGGATGGGGTCTGAAACAAACTGTAAGCTCAGCCAGTTCTTGGACAAATAAGAAGACGCATACCACAAATTGGGCTTCCGTGGCTACAAATCGCCACTAAAGTCCTTCTCCATTTGAGCTTTCTCAAGCGCAATAGAACTTTCGTTTAATATTATATTTCCACCAAGATCTAGCAGCTTAAAGAAATTGCATCTGTTTACGAGGCTTAAAGAAAAGTTAGTAGGAGAGCTTGCTGCAAGCGGAGACGATCGTTGGTTTCAACCTACATTAAATACGAGTGCCCATCTCAATGTATCCGATTGGATTTCTCGCAAAACACTCTTAATAGCTTCATATAAAATCAGGCATCAGCTATTCTCAGCCGGGTTCTACTTAGTAGGAAAACGATTAGTCACGAATAACGGGAAATATTCATTATAAATTTGTATAAGCGAAGAAGCTTTATAACTTTTGGGTTTTTTTTTTAATATTTAGAGGCGTCTATGAGCATCAAAAAGCATTGCCAAATCAACAAAAGCGCGCCAGTTATTTATTTTTCAAGACAAGTCAAGCCAGGTTCTTCTTCATCCTCCTCGTTGGCAGTATAACCAATGTGTCTTGATTCGTTGAACTGCATATATCAGTGTCGCCTTCCATTAACTGCGGTATTCCCCGTCTGATATAGACAGAGAACCTTAAATCTTACATAAAATCTTTCCTTTGGAAACTAATATCCTAAGACTCATCGGATATCATCATCGGCCAGGCATCCGCGCAAAATAGCAGGACGGGCATGATGAGCAATTTGTAGAGGCTTCTATGTAGAGAGTGAACTTTACTTTTCAATTGCTTGGTCAGTCCGAAGTAGCACCTTTTGGTCAGATTGATTTTGCATTGGATTTCAAGTCAGATATTGTTGTTTGCATTGGTGCTGGTGTCAGCTACTAGATAGATGCCATTATCTAGGCATTCTTCAAAGATATAACTCTCAACTTTGACGTTGTACCCAAGACATGAATGAGCTGACTGCACTTCTTCATTCAGTATGGAGAAGGCAGAACTAATAGCGCGGCTTTTGAGGCCAGGGATAACAATTTCACCGACAGACTTCAGGAGTTGGTAGTACTTATAGAAAATTAGATCTTCTTTATTTAGTGCTGCGTCTCTTCTTGTTTTCTATAAAGTCAAATTGAAAAGACACACGTCACATTTTCTGAAGTTAATTGGGACATAGAACGGCTTAAAGTAGTCCTTCTAATTCCTACGGAACTCATAGCAATTATCAGCTAGCGCAGATTGCAAGGCCCTCCTTTCTAGATTGGTCAGATTACACTTAGCTTCCAATCTTTTGCTTTCGTCCCACCATAATGCTAACTACTTTCTCAATTCTCCTCCATCATGCTGGAATAGCTCAACCAACAGCCCGCCAACAAACGTCGGATTGTATTCTCTAAGCGAGCAACCGCTCAAAAATTTAGCCATAATCTACACCATCGTCGCTGATTGTGGTTTACTTACCTACTTTACTGGCGTAGACACCGCCATTCGTTTCTTCTTTTTTCTGTTTGGCGCCAATTGGAAATACCAAGTACAGCCAATTCCTTCTCTACCTGAACTTTCCAACGGAGTGAAGGTTTTCCTCTTCCTCTGCTTCCACCGGCGGTTACTGCATCGAAAACTTTCAAAGCTGGAGTATTTGCATCCATCGGATGGCATGGCCTAGCCAGCGTAGCCACTACTTCTTGATTCGCTGAATCAAATCTGTGTCGCCGTATAACCCGTACAGCTCATTGTTCCATCGTTTGCGGTATTCGACGTTACTAACGCGCAAAGGACCATAAATCTTACGCGAAACCTTTCTCTCGAAAACTTCCCAATTCTGACTGCGCTTCGTGCAGTCGAAGGCGGCTTTAAAATCGATGAAGAGGTGGTGGGTGTCGATCCCCTTTTCATGGGTCTTTTCCAAGATTTGGCACATGGTGAATATCTGGTCAATGGTTGACTTACCAGGTCTGAAGCCACACTAACAAGGTCCAATCAGTTTGTTGACGGTGGGCTTAACTCTTTCACACAATACGCTCGTGAGGACCTTATAGGCGATATTAAGGTGGCTTGTCCCACGGTAATTGGCGAAGGCTGTGGGGTCCCCATTTTTATGGATTGGGCAGAGCACACTTAAATTTCGGCATGCTTTCGTCCGACCATATTCTGGAAAGTAGCTGACGGATGCACCTTGTCAGCTCTTCACCACCATGTTTGAATAGTTCTGCCGGTAGGCCGTCAGATCCCGCCGCTTTGTTGTTTTTCAATCGGACGATTGGCATCTGAACTTCTTCATGGTCAGGTAATGTAACGTTTTTTCCGTCGTCATCGATTGGGGTTTGGGGTTCACAATCTCCGGTTTCTTCATTTTCACTACTATTCAGCAGACTGGAGAAGTATGCCCTCCATAAATGCAATATACTCTGGCTAGATCACCTCTTTGTGTCCAACAAGAGTCTGCTCCGGTCTTGAAACTTTCTGTAAGTCGACGTATCTTCTGATTCTGGTTTAGGTTTCGCCATATCCGGGTGTTTCATTTTCTCTGCAGTTAAGCGTGCTGGAAAAGTGTTCCCTCCATATATTCAATATGCTTTGAAGGTCAATCGTCAAATCCCCCTTCGCAGTTCTACATGTGTATGCTCCGATCTTGAAACAACCTGCAGTTGACTGCATTTTTCGTAGAATTTTCCAGTATTACCCATGTCGACCAGCCTCCTATGCTGTTCATATTTCCGCATTGAGTTCTCTTATTTTTTTTTGTCTGCAAAAGCGTCTCACTTGCCTCTTCAACTATCGGTATATTACCTGTATAGAGGTAGGCAGTTCTAGTTTCCTCCACTGTACAATGACAACTCTCAGCTTACTAGCTCTTTTTTTTGAATAATAGTTCGTTTACAACTGTACGTAGGGAACTTTAAATCACACTTCACAGATTCCTTATACCGAGTTTGTGATGAGTTTCTTCACAAAGTAGAAGAAGTCCAAGTCGAATAGAAAACTGTTTGATGATCTGCTGCGATTGCAACTCTTCGACGTCGAACATCGCCTTTGTTAAAGCACATTTTTAGATCAAGTTAGTAATCAGAGTCTATGTTAGGACCCTAGAAAGTACGCACATCTCCCAACTAACACAAAATCCTCGATTACGTTTCAAGACATTCGATCTGGTTACAACCAAGTAGCTTGAGGGTTTATTTTGTGCAATCTTTTGCGACGGACCGTGAAAAAAACACACAACTTGCTTATTCCCCGGTGTACTATTTTTTACATTTATTCTATTTAATTTTATGTAAAAATTAAATTTGTTAGCAAATTAAAAATTATAAAAATCTAAATATTTATCCCCCCAAAACCAGTTATCTTAACACCGACACACCGCTCGCCTTACTACTAGATTACGATGGCACACTGGTCGCACTCGCCGACAACCCAGGAAGCACAATCCTCACAGCAAACATGAAAAGCTTGCTCAATAGATTAGCCGCACATCCGCAAATATTTCTAGCCATAATCTCGGGACGTGGCCTACGGAATGTACAGTCATGCTTAGCCATACAAGGTATCACTTATGCAGGTAATCATGGCTTGGAGATTGAGAGTGGCGATGGTACCCGACATGATTATGAGCTACCGGTAGAAATACAAAAACACTACACGGCCATTGTGAGGGAACTGACCGAGAAATTGCAACGAAATGGTGCCTGGGTTGAGGATAAAAAGCTATCGCTGACCTATCATTATCGCGACACGCCGCCTGCTTTGGTCGATGAGCTGAAAAATGCGGCGAGGCAAATAATCGAGTCGCACGGCTTTCGGGCGAATCAAGCGCACATGGCAGTTGAGGCGAAACCGCCGGTGAATTGGAATAAAGGTAATGTTTGAGGAAACTGTAGATCTATTAATGATAAATAATCATTACATTCCATAGGTGAAGCTGCGCTGCTCATATTAAAGAACCAATTCGGCATTAATTGGTCGCAGAAAATAAAAGTGATCTTTGCTGGCGATGACACAACAGACGAGGATGCAATGCGTGTAAGGAGTACTACTACCACACTCTGTCGGGAAAAACATATATTTTTTTATTACTTATAATATTTTCCTCGTGTAGTTACTGCAAGGCTCCGGCATCTCCTTCCGTGTCTCTGCGGATCCTGATCTAGAGACCTACGCTGATTTCCGTTTAGCGCGCCAGTCTGTGGTGGAAGATCTCTTGACCTGGATAAATAACGTTTACACTAAATAGTAGGGGAGAGTGTCTTGAAAGTGGGCGCGAATGACATACATATAGTGCGGCATGTGATGAATTTATTGATAATTTTGTACGTCCAAAGCTTTTGTAAATATTTGAAGTAAATAAAAAATATGTAAACAAATACCCAAACTAGTGTAAATACAATTCAGTGGTCTGAGGATGCTTTCCAACACGAACCAGTAAAGGGTTATCCCTATCAAATGCAGCAGTCCGATCCGGCAAACGATCTACTCACCACTCTTCTAGCACCCCTCATCAGCTCTTTCCCTGGATCTCTCGTTGGCTAACCTCAATGACAATGAGACTAACCTTCTCTGCTCTTACGCAGGGTTCGCAAAGCCTCAGAGTTTTTTCAATGAATCAATCAACCATGCATCGGTTTCATACTAAGTCGGCCCATATTTTTTCAAAATTGACATCGGCCATAGTGTTAGAGCCAAAGGAGGACACTATAAAGCTATGATTAATTACTTTTCCTTGCCTGAATCGGAGAACGTTGATGTGCAAGACATTTGGTTCCAACAAAATTACCCCACATGTCTTACAGCCAAATAAAGGATCAATTTATTGAAAGAAACTTTTGATGAGCGCATTATCTCGCGCCGTCGGCCTGTACTATGGTCTCCAAAATCATGCAATTTAACACCCCTGGACTATTTTTGGTGGGGTTATATAAACTAGCTTTTCTACGAAGATTAGCCCGGGGCGATTGACGTCTTGTATGAGAATATATGGCACGTTATTGGTCACATATGACACCAATTGCTGCCAAAAATGGTCGAAAATTGGGCCTCTCGGCTAGAATTTATTTGAAATCACTTCTAAAAGATCAACCTCTATCTTCTCGAAAACCATATGTCCAATGAAAAACTCCATTTAACAATTTCTTCTGCCAGAAAGAACGAAGTACTGACAATCTTCACATGGGTACACATTTGTCTCTGAGCATAGTATGAATGCGTCAGAGCACGCTAACGTATCAGGTAACGAGTTGGCAAACGCGCTTCCATTTTCACTGTGCAGGGCATGTGGCTCTCTACTTGTAAGCTCACTAAAAAATAGTTATTCCTTGCCGATGATAACTTATGACGGAGGAGTCTCAATTGTTGCAATGTGAGCAGAATGATGTGACCGACTTGGAATTCAAAAAGGTTACGAGAGCTCTTTGTACTAAAAACAAAAAATATATACATACAGTCTTTTTACAGCACACCTTCTGCTAGGCAAGCTAAACAATCTGCAGAGGTTGTAGAGAGGTGGAAGAACCTGTAACATTAACTAGTTAAATTATTCGCGAAACTAAATGAAGCCAGATACTTCCCCACCTGATCGTTCTAATGGAGTAGAGGCATTCCTCTTCCACGAATACTTTCAGAGCTGGAGTGCTTTGGTCAAAACGGAATATATGTGCCTAGGTAGCGTTACCACTGTCTCTGAATTCGCCGAACTGTGTCAATTTTACGGTTAGGTATGTCAATCCATCAGTGTGTATTTTCTCTTAAAAATCTTTCGGCAGTTCGAAAACGGCTTGCAGTAAACTGTGAGTCTCTCGATTTTTCGGTAAAACATCAAGACGCATCAAGAGAAAAAGCTCTCGGCCGAAAATCGCTTCAGCGGTAAAAAAAAACACACCAATTATGTGTACATGTCAATGTCATAATGTCCAAAGTAATAGGAGCCCAGTCAGGTCACTGTCTAATAAGACGGCATGCACAAGAACTAAGGCCTTCAAAGTCACTTCTCAGCTTAGTAGAATAATGGCTAACATAGGAGGTCCAACTCGAGAGAAAAGGAAGCTTTTCATGGCGGCAACCCTTAACATCTTACTGTATGGAGCCGAGCTATGGGCGAACTCACTTAAGAAGAATAATAGGCGAATGGTACTGGCAAAAGCATACCACATGGCGGCTTTGAGGGTAGCAAACCGTACGGTATCAGGCGAAGCTATAGCTGTAATAAATGGAAGCGTTTTCATTGATTTATTGGCAGCCGAGAAAAAAGATACTGCGCGTTCAAAAAAATGAAGAACCAAGGATGCACTGTCAATACAAACAGTGAGGACATAAAGAGAGAAACCCGGATCTAGTCTCAAGCTTGATGGGAAGAAGGTAGTAATGGTCGATGGACGGCCAGATTAATAGCAGACGTCAGAATATGGACAATTAGGAAATTCGGGGAAGTAGACTACTACATTTCCCAGATGTTGTCTGGTCACGGATTTTTCGAGAAATACCTCCATAAAATAGGGAAAGCTGAAGATCCGTCATGTATCTATAACGATGCTGACGAAGATGACGCCGAGCATACCATCTTTCAATTCACTCGCTAGCAAGACGCGAGAATCAGACTTGAAAACATTTGGGGAACAAGAGCAGATAATATTGTCTCAATTATGCTACAAAGCGAAGCAAACTGGGTAAATGTAAAGAAGTTCGCAGGAAAAGTACCAAAGTGAAAAAGCGAGACCTGGACGAGATATAATCTCACTATGAGAAAAATGGAACTCCACCCTGTAGTAATGCGAAGGCGGTTCCAGGGTGGGCTAAGGTTCCCTAGAGTAGAGTTTGTTGGTGATCTACCAGTAGCACATGCCATTGATGTGACGACACAATGATGACGCGGAAGGCAAAAAGAAAAAAAGACTCCTTTTAGTAGATGCGACAGAAACTGCATGGGTCTTGAGCAGAAGAAAAAGATCACCCGCCACTTATGTGACTGTGCTAGAATACAGAATCTAAAGGAATTCATTAGAGTTTCGAAATGTTATGATGGTAAATTTTTTGTGACATCGCACTGGGTCTATATTCAGGTCACCACAACTTGACCTAACGTAAAAATAAAAGTCATACTGTATAACTTTCGTTAGTCCCCTTCATTATTGTATTTATATGACTTCGTCATAGTGTAAATTTCCATTTCGTCACAAACTTAGTAATTTTAGAAATCATTTTCCAAAATTCATTTCCACCTTCCAAGGCCCACACATTTTCATATGTATTTCTGGTGTAAATGAAAAATTTCTTCCACAAATTGCGGAGGGAGAAACGAATTCAAAGCTTTGCAAGCTTGAAAGCTTTGTGAGATAAATCTCTCTAAAACGGCGGCCAACCCTGTAGGTAAAATGAAATTAGTGACAGATTATGTATATCACCAAAAGCAGAACGAAAATAATTGAACTTGGTTGGCTAAAAACATTTTCAAAGACAAATTTCTCCAACATGCAGATCTCTAAATTCTTCTTTCTACCTTACTGCAGTAAAATATATTTAGCGGACTTTTTTCCATTACCAGAAAGCTCATAAGCATATTTGACCAAAGACAAGGGACCTTCGAAGTTTTCCAAATGTATGGAGAGGCGTTTAAATGTGTTAATGGTTGTGAAACTCAGAGCTGAGGGAACGGCGTGGTATGGATGAAAGTCTCGTCTCTTCCAATTTATTTGTGAGCAGCAAGTTTTAGCTTCGGTAGTCTTTTTTAGATCAAAGTAGGATACACTTGTTGGCTGATGCGCTGGCATAGACACGTTGGTACTTTGTAGTGTCAGGTGGAAGTTATTGCGATCGTATAGGATGGCGGAATATCACTCCTTCATCTGATTTTTGATGCAAAACCGTCTTTCGCCAACCGAATTCCGCGCAGCCTGGCGAAAGTGTTATGACTGCTGTTTATAAGTATACCCGGTGATATCTAACCTAAATGTAATCGTACTTATTGGACGACCACATGATATTATTTTTAGTTCCCATCCAATGGACCCAAATGTAAAAGATTATGCAAATGATGAAAGTTCTTGACTATCATTCACCTGAGAGAGTGACCAAAAGCGATTGTTTTGCATTTCTTTAAGCAGCTTGCGGCTTCCGGTCTTTGGGTAGCCAACAAATAGCCGTTTGAACGAGAGCTAAAGTGGGAAACAGAATCTCCCGTGTATGAAATCGAACAATTTGTCTTGAGAGACCCACTTTTCTGATGACGACTTCTGTAAATGTTTTATTGCACCATTAATTGAAAGCATGCACCTATATGAACGATCCCTTAAATGGAAAGCTGCTGCTGCACAACTTAAAGCTGACAACACCACCATTCAGGAAAGGCTACGAAGGGTACAAGATCGGCGGAAGGTGTGGGTTCTTAGGAAATCTACAACGCAGCCACATAAACGAGCACCAACTTGTTGTTGAATTTGTGGTGGGAAAAAAACTCCAACGCCAAAGTCTTGGTATTCATAAAGATCTAGCCACAATCCACGCCAGGCGCGGTCTGGTATAGATGCCGAGAGCCGAAGAGGGAAGCGAGACGCATTTGTTGGCGTGTGTAAGAATAAAGGGCTTGAGCTGACTAAGGGATGTAACGCAAAAAAAATTATATGAAAATATTTGGAACTTACAGAAGGTTACAAGACTAAAAGTCTGCGGCCCAATAATAATAGAACTAAGTATATGAAGTGCCTCCACTAAAGGTAGGCTCGAAAATCTCCTGAAGCGGCCTAAGAAAGGTCAACAAATATCAATTCGATAATCGATCTTGAGAAGAAAAAAATTCAAGACTGGCCTGCTACATTACCATATCAGTGTCGTTACTGAGCTAAAAGAGAAAGCTCTTTAAATTTGAATCTCTTTGGGGGGGACGATTTCCACATTTTTCTTGCTGGGAATCACATATTCATACATACATGCAAATATATTGCTTTTCTGATGAACTCGTCTAGAAAATGTCGCATAAATTGCTGTCGTCTTTCCATGCATATCCCGTGAGTGTATGAAGGTGGAAAGCTCCTACCAAGTACTTTTGAGTAAAAAAGTCACACGCATATTTATGTATATACTAAATAACTTTTAAAATTAGTATCCATAAATTTTGTGAGAACAACGATCGATCTTTACTCTCACAGGCCGACCTCCGCTCATTACAAAACACGCTCACGAAAAAGTATGAAATGAATTCACTGCAGAAATATGCCTGCTGACAGCGCACAGATGGCCAAAAATCTATAGACGTCATATCATATATATATATAAATATATATAAATATATATATATGAGCACGACAGTGATTTGACCAACTGTTAGGCTAAAAGCGTCGGTCGCTCTTCGAACGGACAATTTTCCTTTAACTTAAATACGAGCGTACGAAATTTGTCTTTATATCATTGACTTCGTGCGATCGCTCGGCAGCTCGTGTGTTCGGTCGTTCGCTTCGGCTTTCAAATGCCACCTTTCTTGGTGTCTTTTTCGAATAGCTCGCTGCAGAGATTTCTGATCGCATCATATTGTGTCAGTAGTATTAAAACGGCCGGTGGGCATCCAGCAATTTTCCGCTTAAATAAAATTTAAAAAAACCAAGAAATTCCGTAACATTTCTATTGCGCTGCTTTAGAGTGTGAAAGTGAAAGTGTAGTTGTAGTTAAAAATATATATTTTTGAAAAAATAGAAAATTCAAAAATGGCTGAACAAAAGAAGGCTCCACTGTTAAGGAAAGAAGAAGATTACGTGAAAGCGTTGGAGGGGTATGATTTTTGATTTAAAAAGAAAAACAAATAATTCTTACTCAAAAATTAATTAAACATTTTTTTCTTAAAAAAAAAAATGTACAAACAGTTTCTTTACAAAAGAAGATCAGGTTGCCTTACTACTCGACTACGATGGCACATTGGCTCCGCTCAGCGAAGAACTCTCTGCCATGCCAAAAGATACTGAGATCAATATCAAAAAATTGGCTGCCAACGACAAAGTCTTTATGGTTGTCTTCTCCGGTCGCGATTTGGCTGAGATCAAGAATCATTTGAAATTCCCCAATGTTACCTATGCTGGCAACCATGGTTTGGAAGTTGAATATCCATCGGGCAAGAAATTCAAGATCGAAATGCCAGAGGAACTTTTGAAGAAACATCAAGAACTTGTTACGGAACTGAAGGAAAAGGTAAGGCTATCAAGGGCAGGAGTTTTACGAAAGTGATGGAATTCAGAAAAGATATGCAGGGAAACTCAGGGGTATAGAGAGAAAATAATATAACACAAATTAAAAAAATTATGTAAAATGAAATGAAAATTAGTAAAATGAAAAATATTAATAAAAATAAAATAAAATAAAAATTAAATTAATTAAAACTAAAAATAAATTAAATTGGGTTAAAGAAAATAAAATAAAAAAATAAAATAAATAAAAAAACCAAAAATAAATAAAAATAAATTAATTAAAACTAAATAAAATTGAAATAAATTAATAAAATAAACTAAAATAAAATTAATACAAATCAGTTAAAATTAAATTCAATTGAATTGAATTAAATAAAATAAAATAAGAAAAATAAAATTATATTAATTGTAATAATATAAAGCAAAAAAATAAAATGAAATATATATAAAAAAAATTAATTTAAGATAAATAAATAAAATTTAAGTTAAATTAAATTGAATTTAATAAAATAAAATAAAATAAATTAAAATATAATAAAATAAAATTAAAAAAATCAATAAATTAAAAAAAAAAAATTATGTTAATTATAATAATACAAAGCAAAAAAATTAAATGAAATAAAATAAAATAAAAAATTAAAAAAAAAAATAATTTAAGTTAAATTAAATTTAATTTAATTGATTTAAACAAAATAAAATAAGGTAAAGTAAAATGAAACAAAATAAAATTTAAATAAATAATTGAAATTAAATTGAATTGAATTAAATAATTTAAATTAAAATATCATAAAGTAAAATAATAGAAAATTAACTTAAAATAAATTAATTAAAAATAAAATATATTAAATTGCATTAAAAAATAAATAAAAATAAAAAGAAATGAAATATAATAAAAATAAAAATAAAATTAAATAAGTTACAACAAAACAAAATAAATTCAAAACAATTAAATAAAATAAAATAAACTAAAGTAAAATAAAATAAAATACAATAAAATAAATAAAAAAATTTTAATTAAATTAAATGAATAAAATAGAAGAAAAGCATAAAAAAAACAAAATAAGGGTTAAAAATTTTAAATTATAGTAACATAAAATAAAATAAATCAAGTGCAAAGGACAGTAACAATGATTTAAAAACAACAAAAAAGGGTCTCTTAAAGTGGAAACTTTTTGATTTAATTCGATACTCTGCTGGGATAAATTATTAATTTCTTTCTTTCAAAGAATACCTGGTTTAAAGATAGTTCTATAAGCGCATTGCTTTACATTTCTGCAAAAAATAACCTCATTACGTTTCTTTAACTATTTTATATCATAGGTCGTCTTACACGGTGCTTGGGTTGAAGACAAAAAAATCTCCGTCACCTACCACTACAAGGGTGTCAATGACAAATTGAAGGCTAAACTTATTGAAACCGCTAAAGGTCTGATTCAAGGCCATGGCTTCCAGCTGATCGAAACACCATACGCTTTGGAGGGCAAGCCACGTGTTAACTGGGACAAGGGTAAGTACACTGGAAAACAGTATAAAATAATAATATAACAAATAAAAATTAAAACAACAACAACCTATAGTTAGCTGTAATTATAAGCTGCCGGTTGTTAGTTAATAATTTAAGTCCACGAAAGGGTTGAGGATAGCATAAGTTTAATAAAAAGGTATAAATTAATATAATGGGAAATATTAAAAAAAATTGCAAGTCTCAGAGGTAAAATAATTGTTATTTTGGAAATGAAGACAATGCCGCTGACAGGTATTTTTATTCTTGTTGTTATTGAAATATATTTGAAGGCACATTGTTTAAATTAATAGTAGTTTAAATTGATCGATTTCGGTTGAAATAGTAACAGTGTTGTAACATAAATAAAAGAAAAAAATTATAAATAAAAATACGTTGATAGAAAAATAATAATACAAATATGTAGAGACTAATTAAATTCAAATAAAACTAACTATTTAAAAAACACAGTTTATTTAAGATAGAAATTATTATTTAATATTAATATTATATATTATGTTATATTTTTTCAACTTTTGATTTACTAATAATTTCAATTTTTTTTTTGTCCGCCCTCATGAGTTCAAGAATTTCTTCGATTGCAATTTCAGTAATTACACACATAATTGCTATAAAATTATAAAATTAGATCACTCAAGAAAATTCACCTAAAACTCACAGAAAACTAATTGTTTCGAATTTGTTAATTTAAAAGCATTACTAAGCAGCTATTTTCGCAACACTTAAATACAATATTTAAAAATATAATACAATGATAAAAGGGAAAAAATTTAAAATAAAAATAAGAAAGAAAAATCAAACAAACAATACAACGCTCACTCTCGAAACACTTGCCATAATTTGTCACGGCACATAAATAAGCAATCGGTTAGAGGAGGCGAGCAGAGATCGAGCATAGAGCACAAGTATACAGAAATTTATTATTTTACGTATTTTATTTTTACTGATATATTCAATTTTTTAAATTTATTTTTCTTATTATTTTTCTTAATTTTTTACTTATTAATTATTAATTTAATTTAATTTTTTGATTAAATTCTTAATTTTTATTCTGATTTTTATTATATTTTAATTTATATTAATAGTTTTTTTTTTACTGATATATTAATTTTATTTTTTTATTTTCTTTTTTTAATTTCATTTTTTACTTTGTTATTTTTTTCTTTTTTTTTTAATTTAATTTAGTTTTTGATTAAATTCTTTAATATAAATAATATTTTCTGTAATATATGTAATTTATTATTTTTTAATTCAAATGAATGTATTTTATTTTTACTGATATATTAAATTTTTTTATTTATTTATTTTTTTTTAATTTTTTACTTTCTTATTTTATTTAATTTATTTATTTTTTAATTTAATTTAATTTTTTGAGTAAATTCTTATTTTTTTTTGTAATATATGTAATTTTATTATATATTAATTTATATTAATATATTTTATTTTTACTGATATATTAATTTTATTTTGTTTGATTTTCTTTTTTAATTTCATTTTTTACTTTGTTATTTTCTTTATTTTTTTATTTATTTTTTTTTTTTAATGTAATTTAATTTTTTCATTATATTCTTTAATATAAATAATATTTTCTGTAATATATGTAATTTTATTATATTTTAATTTAAATGAATGTATTTTATTTTTACTGATATATTAAATATTTCAAATTTTTTTTCAATTTTTTTTACTTTCTTATTTTATTCAATTTATTTATTTTTTTTATTTAATTTAATTTTTTGATTAAATTCTTAATTTTTTTGTAATATATGTAATTTTATTATATTTTAATTTATGTGAATTTATTTTATTTTATGCTCTTCCAATTTATATGATTTATTTATTTTTTAATTTTTCTTATTTTTCAAAAAAAAATTTTTTTTTAATTTTAAATTTTCCGCTTCGCCGTTTGACCTCATTGCTCGACCAACAAATCAATCAGTTTTTGTTACAATTTTTTTTTCAACACCACCACTCAAGCGAGCACCTGTTGCCAGCAATTAAAATTTATTCTGATATGATTTATTTAAGTATTTTTCACAAACAAAATAAAATACAAAAAAGTAACAGTCGATTTAATAAAATGAAATATAAAGCGAAAAACAATAAAATATATGTATAAAAGTACATATCTAATATTAAAATACCGAAAACAATGTATGTACATGCATATATTTATATGTAATAATACATAAATTACTATGAAAAATTGTGAAAACAAAGACAAACAATTATTTGCTGTGCCACATAAATTCCTCAGAAGAAAAATGTGCGAACGTGGGCGTATGAAAAATCAAGAAAACAAAATGAAATTAAATATAAAAAAAAAATTTTTGAAAGAATTAAATTTTAAGAAAAAAATCAGTATAACTCAAGAGCCAAAAATTAAGAACAACAAACTACAATAACAGCAAATAACATAATGCTGCCACTTGTCAACAATCCTAACAACAACAAATACAAACACATATACCGTACAAATAGAATACATGACGTTTGAGAAAACAGCGATGCACATACATCCATACAGAAAATAGAAATATAAAAATAATATAAATAATCTTTAATACCGTTAGTGATGTGTGTTGAGTAAAATTTCTAATTCAAAATCTTAACCTGTTTAAAACATTTAATTATTCAAGATAGAAGATGAATTTTCACTCAAACATACATACGTGTATGTATTGTAATAGACATCGTTACAGTTTTTTATAATATATATACGAACTTATTATTTATATGAAACATATATGTATATATATAATTTCTCTGCTGCTTTATATGAACATATTTTGTATGCATATCTGCGGGCATTTGTGTGTATATAAATACACGTATGTATGTATCTTTATTGCCTGTTGGAAACAATTTGGCATATTTCTTCTGCTTTTCCGATCAGTCTAGCCAATGTTCGCCTACACGGCCGCCACAGTTGTTGATTTTCGCCAGTGATTTGTACATATGCATACACATATATATATATAGAATATATTGTATTATATGTATGACTCATTTCAGTCGATATCCCGGGGAAAAATGTACAAATTGACGCTTGCATTGATATTTTTAAAGATTCCTATAAAATTGTACAAAGTATGCGCATTTTAAAAATTTTTATATGCATTTATTTATTATAATACATATGTACATACATACATATATGCAATTTTGATTGTCAAAGCTACGATTTATGTCTATTGATTGTGTTTAATGATCGATGCTCAAGTGTTTACACTGGCATGCATGTCATAAATTTTTATTACATATTTACCGATACGGCGAAATACGAAAATAATCAACAAATATTTTTATTAATATTTTTACATTTTTATCATTATTCCTTGTGGCGAGAGATGCTCATTAGTACAAGTAAATTTTTTTTACAAAATCTAGAATTTTTAGAATTTCTACATTTTCTGTATAATTTTATATATATTATAAATTTTTGAAATTTTACATTTATAAATTCGACTGATAGACTTATTACTTTTTTAATTTGTATTTTTTAATTATTTAACCCTTTCGGTGTAGCGAAAATTCATTATGTGAAAATAAAGATAAATAAATATATATTTGATGCTTGAAAATTCCTTAAGTCCATACATTACCAGTGATTTATTGTTCCAATTTAAGATCAATTTAAGCATTTGCAAGCATCGAAAAAAAAAAATACCGTAATTTTTAGACATTTGACAAGTAAAAACTACGCGAGTAACAAAAATGGAACGATACATGCTTCAACAATGCATTGAAATCATTAAAATTCACCGCCAAAATTTCAGCGAAAAATCATGTTGACTGACGAAGTTCTCTTCCACCTCGCTGGCTACGTCAATCAGCAAAACTATCGAATCTGGGGCTTGGAAAACCCAAGATTTGTTGTTGAAAAACCACTTCATTCTCAGCGTGTAGTTGTTTGGTGCGATTAATGGTCCGACGGTGTCTTTGGATCATACTTTTTCAAAAATGTTTGAATTGCGCATTTGAAAGGTCGTTAATGATTTTCTGTAGCTGAACTGGATTGCCTTTTAGGCATTTTAAATTTAGTATCCCAGCCAACTTCTTTTGTGATATTGGTCTCATATCAGTCTTCTCTCACCACCACATTGGTGTTTACGTCGCAGGTATCCTTTTCTTTATCGCCTTTTTTTTCAAAACACAAAACAATGCTTTCAGCCTCATTAGTTGCACCTTTTTTAACGACTGCTGAATCTACATTTACTACCAAAAAAGTTTCAAACTCACAAACGCTAAATACACGTATTTTAGGTTTTTTCTTTAAAATTCATTTTGTACTTTTTGCACTTTCTAAAAGATAAAGTCATTTAGCCAAAGTGAGGGCTCTGCTCTTTAAATATACTCATACTAAGACAAAATAAAAAAAAAAATATTTAAAATAGTTTTTAAAATAGGCGCACAAAAGAGGTAAAAGACCGTCAGCTGTCAATATTTGTCGCAAATTCAAAGATTTATAGTAATTTGTATTTTGGTTATGTAGGTCGACAGTAGTATTAGTACATGATTAATTGTCTCATAAAGCTGAAATATATGTATGTAAAAAGAATTTTACTCACACCACCTAAACGAAATTTAGACATTTAGACATACTTGTATATATTTAAAAATATTATAAGATTTTTTTAAAGAGCCGAAATTGAATAAATAAAAAAATAATAAATTTAGTAAATTTTCCATTCAAAATCGAAGACCACATAAAATAGAAAAGTTCCAATTTTTTTAAAATTCGGTTAGTTTATTTTGCTGAAAAATACGAAATGTTTATTTTTGTTTTTGATTTTGATGTAAGATAATAGCTCTCTTCGTTAAGAAATATCAGTGAGAATTAGCCAGTAATTGCGCTCTCTCAGTGCAAAGCTTTCTAACTCTTCACCTCACCGAACCTGATTCAATCAAAATTAAATATTAGCAACTGTTACTGCCCATCAGCTCGCCGAACAGGACTAATGATTCAGTATGACTATATTTTT